TGCCAATCGCAACTTTTTGGCCTTTTCCGTCAGTCTTCGGATTAATGATAATAGCCGATGTAGTTCCGATTGCAATCGTGCCAATCGGACGATTCCGTCATACTGCGGAGTAATATTACGGAAATCTAAGCTATTTTAGTTACTTCGGTAATCCCAGTTTGTGTATATAAATAGGATTTCTATTTTTACTTGATTTATCGGTTTAAACCGTAATAAATTATAAACGAAATTGTTCCGTTTCATTTGTTTTTCAAGACGCAAAAGTTAGTTTCTTTTATAATTGTTTTTTTTTGTCTGTATTAGTTTTATACATACAATAGAGAATGGTGACTGTAGTATTATTCCGTCTCGCATGATCGAGTTATATTTAGATCTACTGAACGCGATTCAACTTCTTGGTGAGGTAATCTAAAAATAGCCAATGCATATCATTAACCTTGCCACTATCATAGTTGATACATGCTTATTAATTAGTACCACGTAACGAAGTATTTAAGTGCATTTACTTGTCTATAAAGCAAAGGAATGATTTCGCTGCGAAAAAGGGGAAATGAGATGTGCACACTTGTTTTCCTTCAGTATCACGGTTAATATTTTTACGATTGATCATTTTCTTTATTAGTTTTATACCTAAATCGTTTTGACAAAAAAATATTCGGTTTTCCAAAAAAAAAACAAACAAAAAAAACATCTAAATAAACCCTTTATGATATACAAATACCGTTCTTCAAAAAAAAATGTGATAATAAATTGAAACCCCCCCAAAAAAGAACAATTTTAAAGGGTTGGGATGAAGGCACAACTGTGCAAGCCTTTCCTTTTAAAAGGAAACTTTATTTTATTTATTACTGAAACTCTGTGGGTCAGATTCTTTTTTTTTTGGGGGGGGGGGGGGTTTACGTCACACCGACACAGTATAGATCATTCGGCGACGGTCCAGCTTTACTGGTGGAGGAAGACCACAGGTGCCCTTCCTTGCATTATTGCAGGCACGGACGGGCACCTGAGTAGAACCACCGGCGTTATGTAAGCTAGCTGGATAGCTTCCTCGCATGAAAGAATCCAAAGTCCTTGTCGGGATTCGAACCCACAGCGGTGAGGGGCAAGTGCTTTGAAGTAAACGACCTTAACCATTCGGCCACGGACGCCCTTCAGGCAGATACATCTGAATGAGTAGAAGTAAAGTGCAGAAAAACCGTAACCCTCAACACTTTTCCCTAATTTATGAGTTATAACCCTTTGTTCATTTTCACACTTTAAATTTTGTCCTGGACATAACTTGAGAAATATAAAATGTTACAACTTGAAACTTTGTAGGAAGATAGATCTCACTAAGTAAAAGTGCAGTGCAGAAGTACCCAAACCCTTTCTTTGGAGTAATTGCCCTTTGTTTTTTTTGTTAACACTTTGAACTCTGTCCGGGACATAACTTGATAACTATTAAAGGTATCAACTAAAAACTTTGTCTTATTGATGTAGGACAAATAATTAAAAATAAACATTTGAAAAAATCTATAAACTACTGCATTCGACCTATGTGCAAAATTATTAACTAAAATGCATGTTTTCTGACAAGCGCGTGTCGGGGATATTCGGCACTTGACAGTTTCTATTTTCATTGATTGTCTAATTGGTATATCAATCGAAGAAAATACATATGTATATCAAGAAATGATTTAATAGTTATCACGGTGGTCACAAATATCTTAACACATACTTAAAATTCATATAATTCATTTTTTCTTCACTGTCAAAATATAAAAAAACACATGTGAGGAAATGCATGTCAAAGAAGTTAACTCCACATTGCAAAAATTTCAATTATCTTCCTTTAAATTTTTAATTAACTCCCTTTATAATAGTCAAAATCATTTTTTATTTTTTTGTCATCAAACTCTTGGAATATAAACATAATTATAATTTCTAGGGAACCGTGTCTCAGATTTTCTTTATCTATTCTCAAAAAGATATTATGTAACATCAAATATTTTATTGGACTTTTTACACCCTGCTTATTACGTAATTAAAGATAATTAAGTCGCTGATTGAGCAAACAAAAATCCCTGACACGGTTCCCTTCGTAATTGAATTCCCTTTCATGTGCTTTAAACCGCATGTAAATTGCTTGTTTATCAAAAAAGTTATGCCGATTCAAAGTTAGTCCGACGCGCATCAAACGAAGTGTCATAAATCGGCTGTTCTTTCTCAGACCCCTAAGTTTTCTGTTAATTTATTGTATAACACGCAAATATCACACCCAAGAGGGTGACACGATGCGGTAACACATACTCTAACAACTTTTATGACCCAGTGACATCTGACCAATTAAAAAGCAGCTGATAAATATCAGTTTATAGCAGAATTTCTTCAAATCATAACGTGATTTACTGTCCGTCTGGTATCTGTCGAACATGTCACGTGACTATCGGTAAATTTTGAGGCACTCAGTGGGATAAAATGGAACGCATTTAACGTTCGTACTGCTATCGGGTACTCAGATTGTTTCACTTTTGATGTTATTATTATTATCATCAAGCATAACCTTTATTATTAATATAATATTATATCAGTGTCACTCTGCCTGCATATTCGTGTATGAAATTCCGTTAAAATATAAATTAAAATAACGAAAACTGTGCTCCTGACAGACTTTTAAAGTCCGTGCATGGTACGTTGTACAAATAAGAACGAGATATTGTATTTTTTTGTCCGATCAGTTCATATAAATACTTGACATAATTTAATAGAAATAAAAGGTATTTCTCGATCAATATGATCTGACGATCTTGACTTTTATTATTCCGAATTTTATGTATGCGCATACGTAGATTCAGTTTATGGCATCTGGGACATAAATTATATTCGATTTACTAGTGAATAATATATTCAAACCGTTTACTGAAAATATATCTTTTTCGTTGAGTCATAAAGAATTAATCATCCGAAGATTATCGTACAAATATTTTAGAAATTTGTTAAGGACAACTGACCACCTGTCATATATATAGGCGTTCACATAAAAGTAGTTTCTGTCTCGTTTGACATTGTTAGAAAAAACGAGGTTGCATGCAAAGCAAGCTTTTGAATCCGTACTTAGTTCATAAACTCAATATAATGTAGATAAAAATTAGAGTATGGGATAAATAAATTTCACACATTATGGATAAAGGTAGCTACATTGTTTTAACATGGTTGTGCGATTTACCGCTATGCTAAATTATTTGTTACATCTTGGCCGACATTTTCTTAATTTATAAAATGGCTACTTAAATGGTAGACGAGACAATGTTGAAATATTCATAAAAGATGTACAGTATTTTTATGTTACATGTATTACGAGTAATATCGACTAATAACAAATGAACCGGTAATTCATGGATATATGGAACTTCCGATTTCCCTCATTGATGCCTCAATAGGGGGCGGTGCGTTATTGATAATTGACAGGTTACGCGCATAGCGGTAAAAAAATGGAATAGGTATCGTTTTAAAACGTTTAAAACATAGTTTGTGGACTAACTGCTTCCATAATTAAGTCATGAATGTATTCAGAAAAGGTTGATAAATCTACTTAGCAAAAAATCTCATTTTAGGTATTTTAGTGATAATTGACTCCGTTGTCACCTTAAAGATTACTAGTAATAGAAAGAGTATCAAAACACGAGGCTATCTGATTTGAACGAGGGGCATAGCCCCCGAGTATTAATCAGATTGCCGAGTGTTTTGATGTTCCTTCTCTTTTGTATCATAGTCAAACGTATACACATGTTCCCTGTTGTCACAATATCATTTCCTCTGCCGGGAACGAACAGGGTTACGTCGGGGAAGCACCGAAGCTCTGCCGGCACAAATCGGGGATGATCCGGGGTATGATATAGCCGGTAGGGCTACGATAGAGCCCAAATGAATGCTCGCAAAGCCCCGGTGAATTCCGACAGAGCCCCGGAGTATGACGATGGAGCTACGGTTGATCCCGGTAAAGCCCCGGTAAAGCCCAGTTCATTTCAAAAGAATCACGATAATTTTGCGATGATTGCATTTGTTTGTTTTAAAACCCTTCCCATTTCCCTTCTATTCAGTCTTGCGTAAGGATTTTTCAGAAAATCATCATGAATTACTGTTCTTGAACAATAATTAGATATTATATTAAATTAAAAATTTGTATCAATGTAATCATTTTCGCGCGTTTTCAATCCACCGGGTTTCTGCCGGGGCTCTGCCTTAATCGTCCTGAGCTCTGCCGGGGATCTGCCTGGATCGACCGTCAACCTAGGCTCTACGGCGTCATCTAGGAACGATCGGGGAAGCGCCGGCATGAACCGTATTTTCCCCTGGGCTCTGTCTGGATGGTCCGGAGCGCGTCCTGGGTGGTTAGTTGAGAATTACCGTAGTGCTGCCGGGGTAAGTCTGACCGAAACAATAATTTCACCCCGGATCGTCCCGGATCCTCCCAGTAACTTACCGGGGAGGTCCTGGGCTCTGCCGGGAATAAGTGAGGCCGCAGCTTTAAGTTGAAATCAGTTAACCGGTCTTTTGTATTTTGATGAACAAGAAACAACCTAATCAATATTGAAAATATCCGAAGTACCATGAACACATGCTAATCTAATTTCAGAGTTATTGTTTTTGTTCTGATATTCTATGGTTGTATCAAATATATCGAACATGGATAGGCATAAAATATTCAAGGAATTCCGGAAGTCAAAGGCAAAACAACCTTCGACAAAGGTGTCGTATTTCTTTGCATACCATCTATTTAGGAACATCATCCAAATGTATTCACAATTATTTGGATCTGAATTATTTGATATTTCTATCAAACGCTCAAAAGATCTTAGAGATTGGAAAAGCAAAAAAATAATATTAACACTGTCCACGGCTCCCCAATCCCTACTTTTTCAACGTTGATAAATCGATTTCAAAATAACCTAAATATTTGTTTTGTTTATTTATTAATAGATGTGGCTATGACAAACATGTGAGAAATCAAGAAGACTAAAATGGCATCTGAAGATCCAGAAAATCGGATAAATCTATTCCGTTTGCAAATTCTAATAATAGATGGGGGCCTGCTTGTATTGAGAAGTATACTTTATCAGACCATAGCTGCCAAAGGCCTAACTCTAAGGGCATGTCTTAGAAATGAAAGTCTAACAATTACACGATTGCTTGGCCGCAATGTTATCACCCAGGATCAATATGACATATTGTTCCCAGTGGGTGGTCAAGACCCAACTACGGCAGATATGGACATTACGCTTATAACTTGCCTTCTTGCAAACCTTAAATGTTTCGGATTGAATAAGAAATTTAAATGGAATGCGACACCCGTATCAACCGATACATCAGTTGAAGCAGATATATGTCGTTTGAGAAATTTCCGGAATAAAGTAAGTATGATATGACAAAAGTTGTTGATATATTTGTTTGAAATATTTTGTGTAAACATGCAAAAGAAGCTGACAGCTTTACACCTCTCATACAACAATTATATTGTGAATGCTTAATTTTTAACTAACGAACGAAAAGTAAAACGAATATCTTATACTTCAATATAAACATATTTGACAGTATGTACACACATGTTATTAAGACATTGACGTAAAATTAATAATCAATCACTTCGCGATATTTGTGGATTGCAGACAATGATGATCTTTAACCATAAACACCGCTTATACTTAAATGTTAGTGACCTGAAACGTTATAAGTTGATTGGTCTTATTTATTAGACTTTCATTGTACTAGTATAAATATAATTTTAAGCAATATTGTTGTTTTATTATATCATATGTTTTGTGTGAACAATAACTTGTATACCCTTACACCTGCAAAGTGTAGTTTGCACATTCCCCTTTTCACATAATCTTTGCCAAAGAATGATATGAATACATTCCGACTGAACATGTTCTAGTCTATTTATACCTGCAGGGCTTTTCTTCTGATACTGATACTTCTTTCTTTTATACTGATAATTTTAGTATTTATTTCAGATCTGTCATATGCCAACAACAGCTGGGATAGAACAAAATGAGTTTTTAGCTGTATGGAATGAAATCGAGCAGGTAAGCGTATAGGGTTAAAACGTTGTGTTCTCCTTTTTGAAATATTACAAATTGTTCCTTTGAAAATCAAAGCTTTTAAATTTAATGTATTTCTTTCAACTGAAAACAAAGTTGTTACTGTTTATAGTATTAATTAGCTTTCAGGGTGAACTTAAGCTTTTACATCATATAGGTATTTTCTATATTATTCCTTTAGATTTGTGTAAAATAAATGACCCCATGAATAATGAAGTATGCCATTAAAACTAGTTTGTGTCAAGGTTGTATGAATAAGGGTTTTATTCATTTTCTTCATCTAATCTATCACAGCATAAAACATCAATGATATTTTCATATGAATATCTTCAAATATTAAACGATAAAGCAGTAAAACTTGAAAATTGAAACCTGGTATAAAAACAAAATCTAAATTACAAATTTCCTATCAAATTCAAATTTTAGATACTTATTCGACGAAACACCCCGGGTCTTAATATTCATCAAACAATTGCTGATTTCAAGACGTGTCCTCTTGATCCAGAGGAAGAAAGAAGGATAAAGGAAGAAATAAAGAAATGCAAGGATTATGAAGCAGATGTCGATCGCCTAAAACTGGAAATGGTATACGTAAAAGAAAATGTAACTGTAATGCAAAAAAACCTTGATGACTTAAAAGAAAATGCTACTGAAGTGAGGAGTGACCTTGATGATTTAAAAGAAAATGCTACTAAAGTGAATAGTGACCTTGATGACTTAAAAGAAAATGCTACTAAACTGTGGAGTGACCTTGATGACTTAAAAGAAAATGCTACTGAAGAAGTGAGGAGTGACCTTGATGACTTAAAAGAAAATGCTACTGAAATGAGGAGTGACCTTGATGACTTAAAAGAAAATGCTACTCAAGTGAAGAGTGATCTTGATGACTTAAAAGAAAATGCTTCTGAAGTGAGGAGTGACCTTGATGACTTAAAAGAAAATGCTACTGAAGTGAGGAGTGACCTTGATGACTTAAAAGAAAATGCTACTAAAGTGAAGAGTGACCTTGATGGCTTAAAAGAAAATGCTTCTGAAGTGAGGAGTGACCTTGATGACTTAAAAGAAAATGCTACTGAAGTGAGGAGTGACCTTGATGACTTAAAAGAAAATGCTACTGAAGTGAGAAGTGACCTTGATGACTTAAAAGAAAATGCTACTAAAGTGAAGAGTGACCTTGATGTCTTAAAAGAAAATGAAACTGAAGTGAGGAGAGATTTTCGAGACGTGAAAGAAAATGTTACTAAAGTACAGATTGACATTGATGACGTAAAAGCAAATGTCATGAAAGTGCAGAAAGACCTTGAAGAGGTCAAAAGACGACAACAGACAGGTGGGTTATTTCATTAATTTGTGACTTAGTACAAAAATACAAATCTTTATTTTAGTTATCATATGTCTTTCAATTATAAAATGTGTAGGGAAAAAGTATTTGTGATAATCTATCCTGCATCTCTGACAGCACTTCCATTAAACCTAACTGATTGAAAATATATTCTATTCAAAAGAGATCATTCCATTTATCAAAATCTTTTAGTATTTCAAACTTTTTGTCACTTATTAGTTTTTTTAAAGTATGAATCCTTTTCATAAATAAATGACAAAGTTAAAAAAATATAATCAAGATACAAATATTTGACGGTCAAGGGCATTTAAAGGTTAAGGTCATACATGTCTCTAAATTATTTCGCATGTCTCTTTGAACACAAGTATTCTTTTATCCATATCAATCGTAACCGTACATAATTAACAACTTAACAAAAATTCAATTCTTTGACCTTGACAGTCAAGGTCATTTATAGCTCAAGATCAATGTTAGTTCAACCTTTTAGAATGCAAGAGGTTGTTTTGTCCCAAGTATGAAAATAATCCATTGATTACTTTCAAAGTTTCAGTCAATTGTAGCGGTAATCAGTGAAAATATAATAATTTGACCTTCAAGGTCAAAGTAACAGATGAGTCAATGTCCATTTGAGATTGGTATACATGTCTTTATACGAAATAAATCCATTTATAAATAACAAGGTTATAGCCAGTTACAAAAAAGAGGACAATGATGGCCCTGAAATCGCCCATCTGAATATAAAATATTCCATGATAAGGAACAAGAAATATTGTAAATTATCAAGAAAAGCAGATATAAAATCTAAATCTTAAACTGATATCACAAAGTTCATATTTGCATCTCAAAAAGTGCATGTGTCAAAATTATACTGGTTGCTAAAGCTAAGGGAAAACAACAGTTTTAAAAGATGTTTACATATACGAAATATCAACGAACTCAGGGACGGGGCCAATTTTGACCCAATGGTATTTATTTGAACAAACTTGGTAGACACTCAAGACGATGTTTCATGCCAAATATCTAAGCTCTAGCTCTTTAGGTTTGTTCAAAGATTTTCATTGTTTCTGCTGAGAGAACCAAAGTTCTGCATGGAATTAAATTCTTTGAAGAATTTTCTAAAGTGACCACCAAATGAACATTCCTGTGAAGTTTGGATGAAATTGGCTTCGTGATCATCTGGAGATATCGTTTTATGTTAAAATTTATGAACGAATGGACGGACGAAAGAAAAGAGCTAAAAATGGCAAATAATCATGTATGAGATAAACTTTATAAGCTCTGTTAACCATGAAGGATTTGAGTTTTTTTAAGTAAAATTTTACATAAATAAATACTGACCGCTTTGTCTGTATATGATAATAATCAATTAAATATCAAACGACTAATATAATATTGATTGATTACATGGGTTTCTTCTTTAAACAGATAGAGGTAGCGAAGAAGACTTTCCAATACAGACAGAGGAGGAAAAAATACAAAATAGCAAGAAGGGTAAGTTAATGGTGTTTTACGTAAAGGTTTGAAGTATCGTCCAGAGGCAGAATATTGAAAATAATGGAAGTCACTGTTAATAAAACACATACTTTCTTATTTATAATATATGAATATTTTTATAGACAACTGACAACTATATTCTGTCTTGACCGATGCAATGCTAGAGGGCATGATCAGTAGCTTGCAGTTTCCACTGAAACCGTCCATGAACATGCTAAATCAAACCAAGCCTGCAACATTTTCGTGTCCACCATGTTGGATCTTCTTTAAAGATTCTGTTTTTCTCAAATGTGTTTGTAAGCATATAAGTGGTACTTTATTTCCTTCTATTTGATCTTCTTTTACTCGAGTGGTTCCAATTCTTTCTTTTCTCAATCTTTTCTGCAAGAATTGTTTCGATAAATCTAAAGTGCAGAATTATCAAGCTTCATCAATTAGTTACTGCAATTTCTCTACCCTGTATACAACATTGCCACATTAAGTTATCAAAGGTAAATTATTATCTTTAATTCAAAACCATTTGCAAGAGAAAACATTATTTTTCTTGCTTGTAATTAAATAAAGGCTTTCTATACGAAATGTATCTCTTTAAGTTATATACCTGTTACGCAGTGTGTTAAGCAGTATCGTTTTTATTAGATAATATTTCTGTCAAGTTTGATAATATATTATAGGCATGTAGAACTAATTGTGAACCCCTGATAGATGATTTTTTATATTGTTACGAGATAAGTCTCTCTCCTATTTCACAACAGGAACTCATAAATGCATTTAATAACATTCCCGCAATCTAGCAATTTCCCACGCTCTGATATCCCGTTACAGGACATCGCATTTTCGTCAAAGAATTTTATGATTTTTGTCAATTTTGCTATCTATTTTAAAAAGTAAACACGGGTTCAAACCCGTAAGGTGTTAGATATGAACTAAAATAAAAATAATTTCGGAAACAAAAATATTGTGATATATTTTTTTAATATTGCACCGTTTATTTTAAAAACAATGTCCGCTTTCAAAAGAGAAATCATTCAAGTAATTAATTATTTCCATTCTACACTTAACAAAAATGATTTTATTTTCAATCATATCGACAAACTTCACACCAGTAGAGTACCTACTGACACGCCAATACGAACGGCAGAGTTTGAAAAAATAATACTATGAGTATGTAGGTTTTTTTTCTTATTTATTAATTAAGAATTAATTATCTGTTAATTTAAAAAATCTAAAAGTATCTGTCACTGTTTAGAACTGTTCACTATTTAGGGGAGAAAATTTTTAAACAGCCAGATAGCTTAATTGCTACAGCTGCGGTAAATTATTCTGTGGGTCACAGGTTCGAGTTCTGGTCAAGCTAGGCGTTTTTCTCATCCTGTGACTGCATATAAGCATGAGTTCAATTCACTATGCTCTGTAAACATAAGAAATTCAAGGACACAAATCAATATAGTGGGGAAATATGTTGTGGTTTAGAACTGTTTTATTATTTTAGAGAAAATGTGTAGCCGGCCGGATAGCTCAGTTTGTCTTCTGAAAGTCAAGGGTTCGAGTCATGGTCAGGCAGTTTCAGGTGGTTTTTCAACTGACACATGTTTGATTCATTTAACAGATTGCATTAAATTTGAAATGGACAAATGGCAGTATTGCTTGATACTTTGAGATCTACAAAGGGCAATTGATACAGTTGATCACACTATACTGCACATGAAGAAGTTCTTTTTCTTCTCCTTCATGAAACTTCATGTAATGACATTCTAAAATGGTTTAAGTCTTATCTCAGCAGCTGGTGGATGTGGCTGGTACTCATTCTACTATTGCTCTGAGTACCTATGGTGTCCCCCTGATGTTCATTTTAGGTCCTCTTTTATGTCGAATATATGTCAATGACTTGTCTGCAACCCTAAGCAATAAGCTTTTATTATATGCGCAGGCACGAGTATCAGACCTGGGAAGAAAATATATGACCAGATTGATAAAAAAACCTTTGTTCATCTTAAAAGTGTCAACGCCCCCCCCCAAAAAAAAACAAAAAAACATGTAAATAATGACCCCCTTTAAAAATATACTTTAAGTTAATAGTATATTTTTAAAGGGGGTCATTATTTACAGTTTTTTTGGTTTTTATGAACACAGTGTTTTATCAATCTGGTCATATTTTTCTTCCCAGGTCCTATACTCGTGCCTGTCATAATATATGCTGATGACTCAGGTATACTTGTATCTTGTAAAATAAATCTGAGGAAATTCTTTCTTATAGCATGAGTCTTATAAGATTGGTTAATTGACTATAAATTGTCTTTGCATCTTGGCAAGACAGAGTCTATTCCTTTTGGTTTAAGTTTCAACTTAAACTTGGCCTTGCCTCTAGGACACATCTAATGGTACTGCTATAAAGTACACATCTTTTGTTAAGTATTTAGGTGCAAACCTGGATCAAATTCTTTTGGCGTCGCCCTTTGATGCTTTGCATCAATGCTTTTCTTGTATGATTATTGATTTGAATTCATTATTTGCATACACGTATCGTAAAATTATGTTTAAGATATATTTATATATAAAATTTCTATTTAAAAAGGGGCGTCCGTGGCGGAGTGGTTAAGGTCGTTGACTTCAAACAACTTGCCCATCACCGCCGTGGGTTCGAATCCCGATATGGACTTTGGATTCTTCCATGTGAGGTAGCTATCCGGCTAGCTTTCGGAACGTCGGTGGTTTTTCTCAGGTGCCCGTTATGGCCTGAAATAATGCGCGAAAGGATACCTGAGATCTTCCTTCACCAGTAAAGGTGGAACGTCGCCATCTGACATTTACTGTGTCGGTGTGACGTAAAACCCAATAAAACGAACAAGCAAAATATTTAAAATAAAAACATTGCAATAAAATAGAAATGGTAGGTAAAAATTGTTAAATTATCGCTCTGAGACCGATCTATATTCTATACCAAGTATGCAAGAATGTGAATATCACATAAATATACATAACGTTTTTTATTTAAAGGAAGTGTATATCCTTGTATTTTCTTTCTTCAGAGTTTCCCGGTATAGGGTTCTGTATGGATGACAATTTAAAGCAGGACGAACAACATAACAACGAAAAAAATAAAACAATGGAGTTGCCATCATCGGTAAACTTGATTTCTGTTAATAAGTTTTAATTTTAATAGTTCTCAGATTATATTATAGATTATCGTAGTATTACACGCTTCGCAAAAAATAACTATTATCTTTAAAAAAATCTTTATATATGATTTTTAATATATATCGTATAGCTCCATTGTGGAAGGTTTATACTGAACATCGAACATATATTTCAAATTTCAGTTATTAAAACAATATTTTAAAAATTCACGTTACAGGAGAGATGTGATGTGACAAGAGGGCATGAACACTACCTCAGTCATATATTGTTTTTGGAACAAGCTTCGCCCATCGCATTGAAGGCCATTTTAAAAAGAGAAGAGAAAAAATGTGGGAAAGATTTAAGTATTGTGTCAAATGAGAATAGAGATTCTTTTAAAACACAGTACGAAACAGAGTATCTTCAATTATTTCAAGAAGATAATTTCAATGACGACATTGATACGTGGGACACTCTTCAATTATGTGCTGTGATATTAGTGTTGTATAAATCTGATCTAACTGGACCAGAAGTTAAAGCCATTCAATGTATCTATGATCAGAGGAAAGATATTGAACATTACGCCGAATGTGCCTCCCTAACATTCAAGATCTACAACGAGAACCAACATTTATTGCACGATCAATTACTCGAATTGATAACGCTCATAGACGACCAAGCTAAAATTGATTGTAAACGTATGATGTTTTCTTTTCAATCAATATCAATGAAATTAAGCAAAACACAGATAGACAAACTAACACAGACAAGTGATATCAAAACTCATCTTAAAATTGCAATTGATGTAGATGTTGTAACAGAGAATATCATTGGCGAAGAGAACGATCAAAAGCTCCAAACCAATGGTAAGTATTTGTGTTACAGTATGAATTTAAATTTATTCGTATGGTTATCTTGTATCCAAATGCAATACTTTATTCACTCGTTTGTATGCAAGTTTTTTCAAATAGTGTTAATCTAGTAATAGTGTTAGGTAAAGCGACATAATTGTTTAAGATAGCCAGGATCGAAAAAAAAATTAAGTGAGTATTCTTTTGTGTATATTATAAATTTGTATTCAGTATGCGTCAAACTGATACAATGCATGGTCAATCAAATGATATATTATGTACTTTATCTTTGAAAAATTTTGTACGTGTATTTATTCGATGTTTACCTATCTGAACCAGAACCAGGCATGGAATGATTAATCCAGATATTACTTCTTGGTGATATTGTCTTATTCTTGATTGTGTTGTTGTCTATTTTATTTCATTTAATAATTTTGTAAGACACTGGTAAGTTTACAATTATTTGCTTTATGCAAAGTATATCATAAAATATGAGATCGTATTTATTTTGATGAAGAGACGAGCAGTATAACGCCTCGGGTAACAGCATTTTTACGAGAGATGATATTTTTACTGTTCTTCACAAAGCCGTGTGTTATTTCGTTTATTTCCCCGAACGAATACTGCAATGATCTGAAAAGTGCAATGAAATCTAATTGTAACAAAATTGAACAAAGAGTAACAATAACTTAACTGTCATTGCCTTACAAGTTGTAAGTGAGCTTGTAAGTTAATTTTCTTTTATTCTTTAAGGGAATAACGAATGTTGATACCTACCTAAACACACAAACACGCACACACACGCACGCGCGCACGCACGTACATACACACACAGACACACACATACACAAAACGCCGCTGTTTAAGGACTAATGCCTAAATTAAAGTATTATTTAGATATTGTCATGACGATGATAATAAAAATTATTTATAGTTTCCTCCTTTGGTTTACGAGTCAATGATAGCGTCATTAAATGACAATACCCATTTAAACGTTAAATTATTCGTTAATAAATCGACGGCTTAAACAAAAGAGAAGTATTTTGGTATTGTAATTTGATTGATAGGCCTTTGTTTCAATAATTGTATTGCAAATACTTTTTGTACCCAAATATCTTAAAACTCGATCTCAATTAAAACTTTAACAGCAAGTGTAATCCGTTTTAATAGCTTTATAGCTCAATTACTAAGTTTTCAGAAATACGAATTGTTTACTTTCCATATACGTAGCACCTTATGAATGTTAACAAGGCAAAATTGAGACATTTAAGCGGTATTAAAATGCGCTTATTGTTTAGTTAAGTTTTCAATCTTAAATTCGTGAATTTATCAAACGCCGTAGAGAAAATAACACAAACAAAGACAATGAAGAGAAGCGAGTTGAATATTTTGTATTTCATGTTTAATTATATCTGATTTTCATTCATTATTAGCACTACCTGAAAGAATGGTAAGAGGTGTTAGAAATATAATGACTTATTTTATGCTTTTCAGTGGATTACTGATATATCCGTGAAAATTATATTTGATAATTTCACAGTGAAAATTATCAAAATATAATTTCACTTTTTTCAATGACGAAACTACTTTTTTAAGATTTTCCCCATGTGGTACCTCAATTTTATTTTTACTGACAATTCTGACAATGTCAGGCTGTTAAAAGAAATAGCAAAGCTGAAATAGATAAATAACTTAAATGTCAAAAGTAATATTTTATCCCACTGAGTGCCTCAAATTTTACCGATAGTCACGTTACATTTGCAACAGATACCAGACGGACAGTTGATCACGTTAGGATTTGAAGAATTCTGCTATAAAATGATATTGATCAGTTGCTTTTCAATACGTCAGATGTCACTGGGTCATAAAAGTTGTTAGAGTAAATGTTACCGCATCGTGTAACCCGCTTTGGTGTGATATTTGCGTGTTATACAATAATTTAACGGAAAACGTAGGGGTCTGAGAGAGAACAGCCGATTTATGACACTTCGTTTGATGCGCGTCGGACTAACTTTGAATCGGCATAACTTTTATTTAATAAACAAGCAATTTACATGCGGTTTAAAGCACATTAAAAAGAATTCAATTACGGAGGGGACCTTGTCAGGGATTTTTGTTTGCTTAATCAGCGACTTAATTATCTTTAATTACGTAATATGTATGGTGAAAAAAGTCGCATAAATTGTTTGACGTTACGTAAGATTTTTTTGAAAAAAGATAGAAAAAATCTGAGACACGGTTCCCCAGATATTATAATTATGTTTATATTCCAAGAGTTTGGTGACAAAAAAAGCAATTTTGATATGACGATTTAAAATTATAGATTTTTTTTAAAAAAAATCAATAATTTACAAAGGAATTTTTTCAAATATGATATTTTTTATGAAGATCAAAGACATTTAATACACAAAATTTAAATAAATAACAATTATTACAAAAAATAAGTTGGTTTAAATGACATTTATGGTAGTACCATGGTAAGTCGCCTTTAAAACTCATAATGCACTTATGTATTTAATGAATATTGAAAATACAACATAAAACGAAACAAAAGTGTTGTCTATTTCAAGTATCTAAAATATTATAACTAAGATATAACTGTAATTCTGAGACATACGAATAAGTCTGAGGAGATAACTTTGTGTATCTTCTTTACATTGATTATAATGTCAGTTCTGATTTTGACAATTCATAATATGTTAACAAGATATTGATTTATTTATAATTCATGAATTGAAAAGAATACTATATGTTTTCACTTCTGTCAGCACTTATTTTTTGTCTGTTACAATCCTCAAATAAGTTTTCTTTCTTTTAAAAAGGTGTATGACTAACAAATCCAAATTATATCCCTCTGAATCTTACACAATTATTTTCCTCCCATGAAATACACAACTTTAACAAATGGCTGCCGCTTACATTTTACAAAGCCAGGTCTAATATAAATTCGCAGTAAGTAACAGAAATATGGATGGATGGTTGGACTTTTTCTCCTACAAGAATTGTTTGTTTTTATTATTAAAACAAGCGATCATTCATATTTTTTTGATAAAATGAATAAATATCACCGTCATTTAACCTTGATTGGCGGACTTATTTTTCAGCTCAAGACTTCTTGTTTTTAATGTGAAATTCCGTCTAAAGGGGGCTCTCAATGGGGGAAACAAATTTTAATATTAACGTTAAAATGATGGAAATTTCGTTTTAACTTGTTTTTAAGCATAAAATAAAAAGAAAATTTGTCTGTTTGTTGTGTAAGATGTAATTTTATTTCATCTCGTGAACTTTAAAAACAGTATTCTCACTCGTGGCTACGCCACTCGTGAGAATATTGTTTCTAAAGCCCACTCGATGAATTAAAATTTCATCTTACACACAAACAAACAAATATCCTCTATATCTTCCTGGGTTAATTGATTAATAAAATCGTATACTGCAGTTAATATAAACTTACAGGCAAAATAAAAACTTCATAATGGTGTGTACTAAAATAAAGATTGAGGGGGGTGGACAAAGAACAACTGAACAAATAATCATAAGGAAAGCATTCAATTGATGAAAACACGAACAGCTCATTCACTCACGCGCACGCACACACACACACGCAAGCACGCACGCACACACACACAGAACTCATTTTAAACTCACTTAAACAATATAGGCAAACTAAGCAACCAATACACAGACACTTGGGGTGTGGAGCTTAAAACGCCTTTAAAATCCAAATAAAATGTATAATTGTCAATCCCAGCATATGTACTGATCATATATATCAAAAAAGCTTAATATAAGCCGTTTTGAAAAAAAATCATATTTCAACGTCTATAATAATCATGACAAGATAAAAATGTTCGCCGGAAAAAAATCCGCACACCTACCCTCAACATCACCGTGTATTTTATTCCATTTACAATGTTTTCACATAATCCTTTGGCCCATCGACACAGAAGATATAATTCTTCACGATGATGGTCAATTTTAAACATGAACGGTAATATAAACAAGAAACATGGCAATGCCACGAAACCAGGTTTTCAATTATCACCATTGTAGATAAATATGTTGTAGTTGAAATACAAATACAAGCAACAAATAATGTTACTATGTGCAATGTAAATCATGAATAATGTAGGAGGTAATTTGCGCACAGAAGAAATTGTTCACTATATATTCTGTATAAGAAAAAAAACAAAGAGCCATAATTAGGTCAAATATTGTACAATCACAAAACCCCGACAATGTGAGCCGGGGCACTTGATGACAAAGCTTCTGTGAAAGTTTGGTCAAAATCCATTGAAAATTGTAGGAGAAGTTGAGCACAGAAGAAATTGTTCACTATATATTCTATATAAAGGAAAAAAACAAAGGGCCATAATTAAGTCAAAAATTATCCAATCACAAAAGCCCCACAATATGTGCCAGGGCACTTAATGACACAGCTTCTGTGAAAGTTTGGTCAAAATCTGTTGAGAAATGTAGGAGGAGTTGCGCACAGAAGAAATTGTTCACTATATATTCTATATAAGGAAAAAAAGCAAAGGGCCATAATTAGGTCAAATTTTATCCAATCACAAAACCCCGACAATATGCGCCAGGGCACTTGATGACAAACATTCTGTGAAAGTTTGGTCAAAATCCGTTGAGAAATGTAGGAGGAGTTGCGCACAGAAGAAATTGTTTACGACCGCCCGCCCGCCCGTCCGCCCATCCGCCCGCCGACATACCTCAATCTAATAACCAGTTTTTTCCTTCGGAAAACCTGGTTAACAATGCAACAGCCGAAATAAACACCAGGATAATCGCCGTTTTACTCCATTTACAAAATCTTTCGATAAATTCAAACGTGGCTCCCAAGCTTTGCTGTGTGCAAAATGCGCTGCGCTTTGAAGTTGGCAACCAGACGGTAATGGGCGGAGCCATTCGGTAATATGTTGGTTCCCATACTATGAAATTATGACTGATATATGCCCCAAAACAGTCCTTGAGGATACATTTTCATGTTGATTAGGCTTACATTGATCTTGATTCACGTGTCACATTGAAGGTTCCATCATACTCGCGAAATGAATCATTATAAGTTATAATATTATCATCATTCATATTATTAACATATTAACTCGTACATGTATTTTATGAATATTGAAAAAACACATACTTTAGGGTGACAACGGAGTCAATTATCACTAAAATACCTAAAACGAGATATTTTGCTAATTAGATTTATTATCATTTTTTGAATACATTCGTGATTTAATTTTGAAGCGGTTCGTCCAGAAACTATGTTTTTGAAACGTTTTAAAACGATACTTTTAACATTTTAATCCGCTATGCGCGTAACCTGTCAATTATCGATAACGCGCCGCCTCCTATTGAGGCATCAATGAGAGAAATCGGTTGTTCCATATGTCCATGAATAACCGGTTTATTTGTTATAAGCCGATATTACTCGTAATGCATGTATCATGAAAATACTGTACATCTTTTATGAATATTTCAACATTGTATCGTCTATCATTTGTATAGCCATTTTATAAATTAATAAATTGTCGGCCAAGATGTAACAAATAATTAAGCATAGCGGTAAATTGCACGACCATGTGGATGGTTAAAACAATGTAGCTGCCTATATCCATAATGTGTGAAATTTATTTATCCCGTAATCTGATATACATAATATTGAGTTTATGAACTTAAGTACGGATTCAAGAGCTTGCTTTGCATGCAACCTCGTTTTTTCTAATACTGTCAAAAGAAACAGACAACTTTTATGTCTATGACAGAAGGTCAGGTGTCCCTTACAAATTTCTAAAATATTTTTACGATAGTCTTTGGATGATTAATTCTTTATGAATCAATGAAAAAAGATATGAAAATATATATTTTCAGTGAACGGTTTTAATATATTGCTCACTAGTAAATCGAACACAATTTATTGTATGTCCCAGAAGACACTGAATCTATGTATGTCGTGCATAGATAAAATTCGGAATAATAAAATTCAAGAACGTCAGATCATATTGATCGAGAAATACCTTTTATTTCTATTAAATTAAGTCAAGCATTTATATAAACTGATCGGACAAAATATATAATATCTCGTTCTTATTTGTACAACGTACCATGCACGGCTGTAAATGTCTGTCAGGAACACAGTTTTTCGTTATTTTTAATTTATGTTTTAACGGAATTTCATACACGAATACACAGGCAGAATGACACTGATATATCGTAATATTATAATAATAATGATCATGATGCTAGAAAATAATAATAACATCAAAAGTGAAACAATATGATTACCCGATACTAGAACGAATTTTAATACGTTCCATTTTATCCCACTGAGTGCCTCAAATTTTACCGATAGTCACGTGACATGTGCAACAGATACCAGACGGACAGTTAATCACGTTAGGATTTGAAGAAATTTGCTATAAAATGATATTGATCAGTTGCTTTTCAATACGTCAGATGTCACTGGGTCATAAAAGTTGTTACAGTATGTGTTACCGCATCGTGTAACCCGCTTTGGTGTGATATTTGCGTGTTATACAATAATTTAACGGAAAACGTAGGGGTCTGAGAGAGAACAGCCGATTTATGACACTTCGTTTGATGCGCGTCGGACTAACTTTGAATCGGCATAACTTTTTTTTAATAAACAAGCAATTTACATGCGGTTTAAAGCACATGAAAAAGAATTCAATTACGGAGGGGACCTTGTCAGGGATTTTTGTTTGCTCAATCAGCGACATTTATGGTAGTACAATGGAAAGTCGCCTTTAAAACTCATAATACATGTACACTTATGTATTTAATGAATATTGAAAATACAACATAAAACGAAACAAAAGTGTTGTCTATTTCAAGTATCTAAAATATTATAACTAAGATATAACTGTAATTCTGAGACATACGAATACGTCTGAGGAGATAACTTTGTGTATCTTTTTTACATTGATTATAATGTCAGTTCTGATTTTGACAATTCATAATATGTTAACAAGATATTGATTTATTTATAATTCATGAATTGAAAAGAATACTATATCGGAAACAGCAAATTGCAAACAACTTATATTAATTGTTGTTTTATTTATGAAAATATCACTTACCTTTCTTAAATAATCACCAAAAGCTTTTATTACCTAGTAAATATATATGGTGAATGATAAGTAAATATTGAATTATTTCCATATCAAGCAAGACATGCAAGTAAATATTTGATATATTTTGTAATAAATCGCAATTAATTCAGACAGTTGGAAAAATATTTTGTTCGAATGGGCTTACATTGTAAGCATCACAAGTGTTCTTGTTTTTATAATTTTCTTTTTGTTTAGTAGATTCAGTACCAGATGAGGTTGCAAGTGACCCGAGAACAAGAGAACTCTATCAAAAAGCATTAGAGAAAGGCACAGAAAAAGACAACACTATTAGAGTTATGGTTATTGGATGTTTTGAACAAGGGAAAACGTCATTAGTAAGGAATTTATTAAAACAGTCAATTGATGGAGTTGAAACAACAAACGGTATTGAATTGCATAAATGTACGGTTATCAGCGATGAGGAATGGAAGAAGTTAGACAATGAAGATCTTAATAAAGAGACAATTAAGCGCTTGGTAAATATTGCTCTAAAAGAAAAAAATGACGAAACAACCTCATTTGTTTCCAAAGAAGAAAAATGTCTGCCTAGCGAGGACACATTAATATCTAGTTCAACAACGGATATCTTAAGAACAAGGAATGAAAGTGTATCTTTTCCAAAGAGTGGCATCGAAGACAATGCTAGATCTGATGAGTACGAAGGCAAAAGAAAGGAAGGAATTCAAGTTAGCAAATTTCAAATTGCTGTCGCTGCTAAATCGATAGTTAGGAATGAAAAAGTCAGTTACGAAAACTTAACTTCATTCCATACTGAATTAGAAAGATCTGAATCCATTCAGCGTAAAATTAACCTTGAAAACAACGTCACGTTAAACATATGGGACTTCGGAGGACAGTTTGTTTTTTATGCTACTCATCAAATATTTCATTCACAACAAGCTGTTTATCTGCTTGTTTTTAATCTAAGCATTTCTCTTGACACAGTTATTGAAGATAAGGAGTTTCCATTACACAAAAAGACAATGAGAGACTATTTAAAATTTTGGGTTGCTTCTGTAAACTCTTTTGTTGGGAGTAGTGATGGAATGAAACCCGCTATTGTTTTAGTGGGAACGCACAGGGACAAATTGGATGCAGGAAACAATAGCGAGGACTATTTTGAGCAGGTAAGACAACTCTTTGACCACAGTATATGTATTAATCATATTCAGCCTGAGCACTTTGCTATTGCAAACACAAGTGGATCAGAAAGCGAAATCAATGCTTTACGAACATATATATCACGTTTAGGGCAACGACAATTGGAAAAAGTAATGCCGGCTAAATGGATTCTACTTGAGAAGGCACTTAAAATAAACAAACAGAAAAAAATTATAACAATTGATAAACTCAAACAAATAGACAGTAAAACGGATAGTCCATTGCAAACTGACAACTCAACAGAAACCATGGATCAGATCAAACTATTTTTGTCCTATCATCATGCAAAGGGAACATTCTGTTATTTTGATGAGAACAATTTGTCAAACCACGTTGTCTTAGATCCACAATTCCTTGTTGACGCTTTCAGGTGCGTTATTACATCTGAAAAGTTTTGCATAGTGCGTCCGAAATTGAGACACGTTTGGAAGGAATTGTGTAATACCGCAATTTTACGCCCAGAGCTTTTTAAAGAGGTTTGGGGACAAGACAAAGATAACAACTTTTATGAATTCAAAGACTTACTGATAGAGTACATGCAAAAACATAATATTTTAGCTGAGGCTCTAGCTTATAATCTTGATTCTGAGCCGGCCGCAAGACCTTTAGGGTATTTCATTGTTCCAAGTTTACTCAAGGCGTCATCATTATCTGCTGACACTATCAGATCATATCTAGAAGGAAAACAATTGTCAACTGTTTCTTTGTGCTATAGGTTCGAAAATGAAACGCTGACCCACTTTATTTTCCAGGCCTGTTTAGCCGGAATTATAGGACGATGGCCACTTGCAAAGTACATCAAAACCCATGTGTTGTTTGATCACGTAGCTGCATGTGATATAGAGCGAAGACATGCTGGTGTATTGATGCTGTCGGAAAACAAACTCGAGCTACTTGTTATTAGTCTTTGTCCTCCCGACAATGTCAAAGCTGATGTCTGTGACATGTTTCGACGATACGTAGAGGCGATTATGATGAAAAAAATGCACAAATTGCCTACCAATATGCATGAAGGGACTTTTTTCAGTCGTGCGGCGAGGTGTTTGCATAAAGATCATGGAACCAAAGGAAGTGATGGAACATTTAATATTGTTGCTGTTGACAATATACCATCAACGAATGATGAAAAAATACCATGTCCAGACAGAAGAAGTCACTGCTTGCAGATGCACAGTATACTTAATGAATGGTTCATGCCGAATATTGAACAAGATAAAGTTCCAAAGAGAAAATTATCCAAAAAAGAATATAGCACTCTGGCAATGTCAATTGGAGACGGTTGGAAACTGATTGGATTGCAACTTGGTCTTGATAACGTAGATTTAGATCAGATTTGTATGAATGAAAATGATGCTTGCATGCGCATATATAACATGTTTTTGAAATGGGATAACAAGGAGGCTGACGCAGCTACACTAGACGTTATTGTACAAGCGATAACAAAATTCAGCCCGGAACCAGTACATGTTAAATTGGATGTTTTAAAAAATATAATCAATAGGTTCTAAACCGATCAATTCGCAAAGTGTGAGTGTAAAAACGACAACACTGATAAGGACGTCCACAAAAATTCAAAATGAAATGTGCGTATAAGTAAGACAATTTTGTTGAATTTTCAAAAGTGATTTCATACTAAGTCATATTTTGCTATATACGTATTTGTATGAAATTTTCGGTGAAATTGATAACATACTTGTTATTTTTAAACATGAATTCAATGCATGTTTTAATATGTTGCATAAATGTTTTTTTTCTATTATCTTTTTTGGCGGCGTTCAGTAAAATTTTGCAAAAAGCTTAATGTTTCCAAAAAACTCAAATATGTTTTTTTTCAATGTTTTGACATTATACCGGTGTAATAGTTTTGTTTTACAATGTAAATATAATTTTGTCTGAGAAAAAGACTTATTCTTTTTTTTAGTTGCAATTCTATATGGATACACATCGTTTCTATCAGCATATCTTTGGTTGCAGATTACTTTAGCGGCTTTCCATATTTACTTGTGAAAGAAGACATCAATACCTCTTGTTTCTTGAATATTTTTTAACATTTATCGTTTTGTTTGGTATTATATCAGTGGCCAGTCCATCAAATTGGCTTCCCTTTACTAACTAAACGGTAATTACTAACGTATCGGTGAATGGTCGTTTATTTATCCTCATTTCTTAATCAGCCACAAATGTGAGATTTGAAGTCGCGGGCATCTTTAAATAAGTTGGTAATTGCAGGTTGGATAATCAGAAAGATCGGTATACAACAAACTGTCAATAACTTAAAAAGCTATGTTCCTTATATCCTGGGCATGATATTAAGCTGGACAAGCAATCCACCAACTAGATAAGTGGTCTAATGTTGGATCCCATTTGGGTCAATTAATTTGACCACCAAATGATTGAAAGGGTTAATGTTTCAATCATATATTAATACAGTTATTATGCATATGTATTGATAAGTTTTGATAACATCACCTTAAGCAATTTTACATACATTTAATAGAGACATTGAAACTTTAAAACACACATTCGGAAAACAAAATCGCAGACAGACAAAAAAAGTTTCTGAATAAACTAAATATACGCAATGGTCATGGTATTTTTTTATTCGCATTTTTTGTTATGTATTTAAATGATTTAATTCTCAGACAAAAAAAGCATTCTGTGAATAAAAATAAATAATTTTACATTTGATTCTTTATCATATATCAGCTGTATCAAAGCACCCATGTTATCCATTTCAAGTTTTACACTGTAAATATTTATTACAATTGGTTTTGATTAAAATTTAAAAAAAGAATATTATTATTTCCTTCTTCAATAATTATCTGTAGCTAACCATAGGGTTGACGGTAAAGGACTACTGGTCAAAATTTTAAATTTCCGGACATTTCTAACACATTCTTAGAAAAAATAACAATTGATTGTGCTTCACTCATTCTGGTTGACATGAATAACATGGGGGCTTTGATACAGCTGATAGATGATAAGGAATCAAATATTAAATGATTTATGTTTTTAATTAAAAACTGCTATTTTGAAACAATCGCCAAAAAATCACCGATTGATTATAAACGCTGTATGGACTACAAATGAATGATAAATACCAATAATCCAAGCCACGAAGGACATCTCGTCATTAAAATAATCTAAATTTATTTTCACTTTTGTAAAAGTCCCTATAATCGCTCTTGCACATTCTTTAGCAAATGAAATTGTATCAGAAATAGGATTAACCTCATCACTTTATTCCGAAAGTATATACGTAGTTGGTAATTCGAACTATGTATGTTTTCCCTGAAAAAGTACTTTTTCCGAAATTAACATAACGCATATACGAGGTGTGTGCTAAAAGTTCATGGACGTTTGCTATCAATTTTCATTAAGGTTCATACAACAAACTTGGTTGATATGAATCAAGCGGGTCTCTTTATTTCTAAAAGTAGGTTCTCTTTAATCGAACATATTTATTTCCTTTACGAACTATGTGCGCTTTAATAACCATGGTGATGTAACATCGGATTATGTCGAAATGTTCATACAACATTTAAATATTACAAACGGTCGAATTAAATTGAACGGTAAATCGAGGATGAAAAAGCGGGTAAACATGTATTAACATTTAAATGACATAAATTTGACATTCGCCGTCATTTGGTCGTTAAATAATTAAACAAATAAGTTTTAGCTGAGTAAATTCCGAAGTGTGAAACCCGTTTAAAAGCCCGTTTAAAACCTAGAAATTGAATCTTTCGGAAAGTTTTCCAACAAATTTAGGACATTCTTTTATCTACATATGAGGTGGTTCAATTAACGGAGGGCAATGAATCGATGAGCAAGTCTCTTGGTTTCAGGTGGCGCAAACGATTCAAAGACGGCGAATACATGATCACAGACAGAAAAGAGCTAGGGAGAATGCGGCAAAAAACCAAGACGTTATAAACGTCAATTGCACAAAAACTACAAGAAGATTGACAGCATGAAAGGTTTGCGAACTGTTCGACATGTATAATTTCTGCAGCGGGTCTGCCCATTCCGTTTTGACCAAACAATTGAATTTAAATAATAATTTATTTTATTCATAAGGATATGTGACTATTTACAATAAATAAATGTAGTTAATATTTGTATTACATATTCACTACATATTGTAAGTTGATACTACAAATCGCAAATTTCATTAACAATATAAGACTGTCAGCAATCTCTCGAGACAACTAAAACATCTCGATCAAGTGCGGAGAGTGGCCGGCTCTCGGACACGTTTGTGGAGAATTGAGCAAAAAAAGACCGTTTTTAATCTTTAAAGAATCGAATCGTAAATTTTCTTTAAACGTCAGTGCCATAATAATCGATAGCAAATTTCAGAAATATCAATCGGAACACATCATAATAATCTCGGACTAAATACGGATTTAAGTATTTATAGCGTGGCTTAGTATGTAAACAAAAACAGATGATGAAATATTTGTATAATGTATGACGTATATATATTTGAACTTCAAAGGATAGAAAAAAACGTCTGGCAATCATAATACACGTGCATAGATATTAATAAAAAACGCCAACTCATGTACATTTATTACCGAACCCAAATTAATGTTAACAGGTAAACATTTTATACGAAAAGGGCATAGAAGATGCAATTGAACAAACATTTCAATTTTATGACAATTTACGGAACAGTGACTACTTTGTGGTAACTATCATGTTGCCAGTTAATAACACAATGATTTTACACCAGTCGTCAATTCAAATGAAGTCTAATTACGTTAATCTGTATACAGCAAAGCCGTAAAAGCGAGATATTTGAGCTCTATGTTCACATCGTAAATCATTTTACTAAACCGCATGGTGTATGAACTGCTTTTCACTACACATTAAAATTACTCACATCTACACACTTTCGGCCGCTAAATTCACTCAATACTGATACATACAAGTTACCTTCTTTCAAAAGACGCATGCCAGAGGTGTTTCTACAGCTGTGTGATATAAATTTCATTGTTCAAATTGGTCGATTTGAATTTGCGAGCAATAACAACATATCGGCCCTGTCTGCCAATCTCCGGATAAGTTCAAATTAGGAATAAGGGACGGGGAGTTCCGAACAAGAAGTAGCTGCAAAATTTCGGCACACTGTATACTCGCTTATATAACAGCGTTTGGTGATATTGTAACCATAGTATTTACTGTACTACATTTCGAAACATGAACAGTAAAACTTACTCAAAAAACAAGAGGGCCATGATGGCCCTGAAGTCGCTCACCTGTATATAGGCCCCGGAGAGGGGCCAGTTTTAACCCCAGGGCTTTTATTTGAACAAACTTGGTAGACACCCATTACAAGATGTTTCATGCTTAACATCTAAGGTCTAGCTGGTAAAGTTTTTTCTTTACACATATAGTTAAAAACAATGACACACCTGGGCGGGGCCAATTTTGAACCCAGGGCTCTTATTTGAACAAACTTGGTAGACATCCATTAGAATATATTTCATGCTAAATATCTTAGCTCTAGCTCTTTGGGTTCTTTAAAAGAAGATTTTTTAAGTTTTAACTATATGCATATAGGGAAAATCAATGACCCCCTGGGGCGGGACCAATTTTGACCCCAGGGCTTTTATTTGAACAAACTTTGTAGACACTCACTAGAAGATGCTTCGTGCTTAATATCTAAACTCTAGCTATTTGAGTTTTTTCAAAAAAGATGTTTTAAGTTTTTGTTATACAAATATAAGGAAAATGAATGTACCCCGGGGCGGGGCCAATTTTGATCCCAGGGCTTTTATTTGAACAAACTTGGTAGACACTCACCAGAGGATGTTTCATGCTTAGTATCTAAACTCTAGCTATTTGGTTTTTTTCAAAGAAGATTTAAAGTTTTTTCTATACACATATAAGGAATATCAATGACCCCGGGGCGGGGCCAATTTTGACCCCAGGGCTCTTATTTGAACAAACTTGGTAGACATTCATAAGAATATGTTTCATGCTAAATATCTTAGCTCTAGCTCTTTGGGTTCTTAAAAAGAAGATTTTTAAGTTTTTACTATATGCATATAGGGAAATCAATGCTCCCCTTGGGCGGGGCCAATTTTGACCCCAGGGCTTTTATTTGAACAAACTTGGTAGACACCCATAGGAAGATGTTTCATGCTAAATATCTTAGCTCTAGCTCTTTGGGTTCTTTAAAAGAAGATATTTTAAGTTTTTACTATAGGCATATAGGGAAAATCAATGACCCCCTGGGGCGGTGCCAATTTTGACCCCATGGCTCTTATTTGAACAAACTTGGTAAACATCCATTAGAATATATTTCATGCTAAATAACTTAGCTCTAACTCTTTGGGTTCTTTAAAAGAAGATTTTTTAAGTTTTTACTATATGCATATAGGTAAAATCAATGACCCCCTGGGTGGGGTCAATTTTGACCCCAGGGCTTTTATTCGAACAAACTTGGTAGACACCCATTAGAAGATGTTTCATGCTAAATATCTTAGCTCTAGCTCTTTTGGGTTCTTTAAAAGAAGTTTTAACTATAGGCATATAAGGAAAATCAATGACCCCCTGGGGCGGGGTCAATTTTGACCCCAGGGCTTTTATTTGAACAAACTTGGTAGAAATCACTAGAAGATGTTTCATCCCAAATATCTTAGCTTTAGCTCTTTGGATTTTATAGAAGAAGATATTTAAAGTTTTTTCTTTTGGTTGCCATGGCAACCAGAGTTCTGAATTGAATGGAATCCTTTGAACAACTTTGTTAAGGCTTCACACAAAGAACATCCCTGTGAAGTTTCATTATGATCTGCCTTATGGTTTCAGAGGAGATGTCGTTTGAAAAAAGTGAACGGACAACGGACGACGGACGACAGACGAAGAGTGATCCTAATAGCTCACCCTGAGCATATGGTCAGGTGAGCTAACAATAATAAATAAATACAGTCTAACGGATTAACAACAGACTGTCCGGGTTGTTAAATGTAACGTAAGTTACATTTCCCAATTTTT